AGCATAAGATCTTGTCGTACTCGGAGATTGCGTGGTTCTTCGGGACGAACTACTTTATGCGCGTCTCGGACGTGGCCGACGCCTTCGCTCATTTGCCGATCGCGCCCGAGCTGTGGCCGTTCTTCTTCTCGCGGTTCTGGCTAGAGCACCGGGGGCCGCTGTACCTGCTGGTGAACGTCTGTTGCGACTTTGGGACAGCGGGCATGCCAGGCACATTCAAGCGGTTTTTCGTCGACGGGGTCGTGCAGATGGCAAGGTCCGAGCAGGTCCTCACTCTGCCTATGGCGATACACGTCGATGACTGCGCGCTCATGGGACCTGACCGATGCCAGGTTGACAATGAGATGCTCGGCTTCCATTGGTGGTGCTCGTTGCTCGGAGTCTTCTTCAAGGCTGCGAAGGACCGCCCCGCCGCAATGTGCCAGTACGTGATCGGCTTCTGGTGGAACTCCGTGGACCGCACGCGCACCCTCGACCCCGCTAAACGGGACGAGTACAGTGCGATGCTGGACGAGATGTGCGGGCGACCGTCCCTCACGCTGAACGAGATGCAGGTTGCCGCCGGCCGGATCCAACGGTGCGTCATGACTTTTCCACCCGGGGCGGGCTGTCTGCTCTCTGGCCTGTTTGGGCTCATGACAGGCCTCCGCTTCGCGTGGCAACGGCGGCGCCTCACGCGGGCGATTAAATTGGACTTCCAGATCGTGCGGCGCCTTTTGCAGTGGAACCACGGGCGGGGATTCTTCTCGTACCTTGGCCTCCCGAGGGCGGGCGAGGTGCGCTCGGATGCCAGCCGGGGCAGCCTCTATGCCGGGGGGGGCTATGTCGACGTGTGGGGCAGGTACAGCCTGTGGCGTTACACGCGGTCGGCCGCTCGCTCGCTCATCGACTACCTCGAGGGGGACGCTGTCACAGTCGCCACCGCGGAGCTTGGTCACTCTTGGCGCGGATGCATCGTCCCCTTTGCCGTTGACAACCGGACCATCGAGGGCTCGGGCTCGCGGGGAAGGTCGCGAGCGGAGCGGCTTCGCTTCCTCATGTACGAGTTCTTCGCCCTGCAGTTGCGATACGGGTTTGTCTACTCCTTCTACTGGATCAGCTCGGAGGCAAACTACCTGGCGGACGACCTGTCGAGAGGCCGCGAGGCGGAGTTCCTCGCGAAGGTCGATGAGAGCGGCTTCCTGGCTCCAGGCGCTTTCCTGCAGAGGAGCGCCGGCGCGGGCAGGGAGCGCGCGCTGCCGGAACGCCGCCGTGCCTTTGAGGATGTACCCGAGCAGCCCACGCGGGCGCCCCCCCCCTGTTCGCCGCGGGCGGGCAGTAGGGCGGACGTGGATCACGCTTTGCCTTTTTGTCACGTGCGTGGTCGAGCAGACTGAGGCCGTCACCCCTCTCGCAGTCCATGGCGGCCTTCCCCTCGTGGCGGTCATCCTGGGCGCCATCATAGCGGTCGGCGGCGTCATTCTCGGCGCGTCCCTCCCCGCAATCGCGCGGGCCGGACGGGCATGGGCGGCGGAGGGCGGCGCAGCGCGCGCCCAAGCGCCCCCCGGGCGACAGCAGCAGCGCCGCAGGCGGGCTCATGTCGCAGGGGCCGTCCGGCCGCGGCCCGCCCAGGCGCCACGCGTACGCAGGGCGAACATGGGGACAACGATCCTCTCCATGTGCCTTCTCTGTGGCTGTGCTGCCGCCCCCGGGGACGGAGGTGGGCATCAGCCCTTCGCGAGGTCGTCCGTCTTCCAGGGCCTCCCGTGCCGGTGGGTGCGACCGGTGGAGAGCGTCTTTGACAACCGGCTGGCGCCGTCGTCATGGCGTACGGTGAATGCGGCCATGAAGTACTGGAAGGAGACGTGTTTGCAGTACGGCTGGTCGGTCATCATCTACACAGATGACCCCGAGAGGGGCGGAAAGCTTGCCGCATGCGTAATGTCGATGGTCGTGGACACGAAGCTTGTCTTCGGCTCGATCGAGGGCTACGCGTGGGGCATCTGCACGTGGCAGCAGATGATGCACCAGGCAGATCCACGTCTTGGCGTCGTCGATTGGACCATGTTCATGGCCGGGGTCAAGGTCTTGACGTGGGTCCCTGGCGAGCCTCGGAAGGCCGTCCCCTTCGCCATCGTCGCCGCCATTATCAGGGCGACTGACGTGAGGAACTTCGCATCCGTCCAGCTCGTTTTCCTCATCCTCCTGCTCGTGTACACCTTTTCTCGCTCCGAGTCAGGCCTCTGCAAGACCTTTGAGGGGCGTGAGAGGTTTGACAAGACCGAACATATGACGGTCAGCGACGTCGACATCGGACAGGTCCAGGACGAAAGCGGCAACACGGTGCGGGGATTGTGGGTCCGTTTCAAGAAGATCAAGCAGGACCAGCGTGTGGAGCGCCCAGAGGCGAGGGGCGACGGCGACTGGGCCTTTGTTGGCGATGTGGCTGACTCGAGGTACAGCATCATTGCGTGGTTCGTGCGCCTCATGGGGTTCCACATCGCCGTCCTCAACGCCCGTCGCGACCCAGACGAGCCTTTCTTCCTCGAGACGGTGGATGGCCGCCGACGCCCCCTCCGCTACGCGCCCGCCATGGACCAGTTCAAGGCGGCTCAACGCGCTGTCGGTGTCGCGGCGGGCGAGGAGGGCGGGCTCCACGGCCTGCGGGTCGAGGGCTACAACAACTCGAAGCGGGTGTTGGGCGAGGACGTGACGGTGGCGCATGGCTTAATGAAGAGCGATGCCCACAAGCGCTACTCGCGTTTCCCGATGGGTCTCGTTGCTCAGATCCCAGCCGCGGTGAGCGGCGTCCTTCGGGCCGAAGGGGGCGGCGCCGCCGAGGGCGCCCAGCCCGCGGCGCGCAGCGCCTCCGCCCCTGCCGAGCGCGGCCCGCCTGCGGTGCGGCTTACACGCGAGGCGCTGCAGGGTGGTGGCTCGGCCGCTGCCACAGCAAGCGGCGCGGTCGCGGCGGTCGACGGGCGGGTCGAGGGCCCAGCGAACGTGGTGCCTGAGGGGGGCGACGAGGCTGGCGACGTCCACACGTCCATCGCGGAGGCCGAGGCCGCCAGCGAGGCCAACCTCCTCCCCGACGGCTGGCGCCTCTCCCAGGGGGGCGGCTACGTGGGGCCAGACGGCCGCTCCGCGCTCAGCCGGGCCGATGCGTGGCGCGAGTGGGATGAGTCGTCGCGCGCCGAGGCGGACGGCGACGCTCTCCCCGACTACCTCTCTTATGACGACGACGGCGAGGCAGGCGCCTCCGACTCCGACTCCATGCCGGGCCTCGAGGAGGTCTCGGACTTTGCCATCAGTGCGATGGAATAGTGGTTCTTCGTGTCACCGAGGTTCGAGGGGCGTCCCAAGTTTGCGTGCAACGTTGGGACTTGCTTTCAGCTTGGGCGTCTTCCTCTGCAGCTTGGTGAGTGCGAATTTCCGCAGTGTGTGCGTCTTCTCGCTTTGATAACACGCGGATGGTCCAAACCTTTACAGCTCAGCCCCTCGCATGTTACTGCAGTGTGACACCCAAAGGTGTTGGACAACGGTGACACGAGGGCTGGGGGTGTGAAGGGCATAACCATGGTTGCGTGCAGACAATGGAGATAGAGCAGCCCCGGAGCGGAGGCCCGCCCGGGGTATTCAGTGTGTCGCGGGCGCCTAATCGGGATTAATTCCGTCGGGCGCCTACGAATTTACGTTTGCCGTCGGTGTTTCGCAAGCGCGCCTGGCGGCGGCTTGTGCTATGCCTGCTTTGGAGCCCGACGGGAACGCGGGAGCTATGGTCTCCCACCCTCCTCCCCTATAGCCTCTCACAGTCTGGCGACAGTGGGGGGTGAGTGCGAATTTCCGCAGTGTGTGCGTCTTCTCGCTTTGATAACACGCGGATGGTCCAAACCTTTACAGCTCAGCCCCTCGCATGTTACCGCCTTGTTGTAAAAAACCGGGGGGCATTTATACGAGGTCCCCCTGACCGCCGCCGTCGGAGACGCTCTCGGCGACTCGTTGAGGCGCCGAGGGAGGCCCCGTAGGCAGAGTCCCACACAAACAGCCCGCTATCGTGAGGAACAACACCCACAAACTTTAAGTTACCTTCCATCAATCGGTGTCGAAACATCGCTCGGGACAGCGCTCAACAAGAAAACTGACAAGGCGTGACTAATCCCGGAGTGGCCGCAACTCCTCGGGCCGGCACGCTGCAGGCGTCGGTGGAGTCCCTCCTGCAGTCCCTGCCCATCTATGTCGGCGACTGTCGAGGTCTCGACGCCCACGGACCTCAGCTTCCAGTTCCACCACCTCCACGTCTACGTCGAGCGCGACTCGCTCCGGCCGCTCGCCGATTACAAGAAGCTCGAGAGCCAGCTCAACGCGCTGGCGTCGCGCGGCTCCTTCGATCCCTTCTCGGGCGGCATGCGCTTTCTTCCCGCGGGCGCGCTGCCCGCGCGCGTCGAGGAGGGCAGGCAGATCTGGAACCAGCTGGTCGATCCCGCTGACCGCCGCGACGAGGCCGAGTATGCCTCGGCAGGTCAGGACTTTGTCGAGCAACTCCTGGTCGGACTGGGCTGGCGCGTGACGGCCGAGTACGTTGGTCCCACCACGCGCTCCGTGCTCGTCACCTCGGCCGACCCGTGCGGCGTCAAGTTCTGCGTCACGTGCGCACTGGTGGGCGGCGACGACGCGGACGAGCCGTACGACCACTTCCGTCGCTCTCACGTCGAGCGCTTCCTCACGGCGCACGGCGGCCGGCCCGGCATCGCCGCGCTCGGCTTCGAGGTGGCCGAGGAAGGCGGCGTCGAGGCGATCCTGGCGCAGTACCGAAAGAGGCACCCGGCGCTGCTCGTGTGGCACGCCGGCGCGCACGCCGGCGCGCCGAGCAGCGACGTGACGACCGGCAAGCGGGCTCGTGTCGACTGGACCCTCACCTACACCGACGTGCGCAAGGTGCAGGCGCCCGCAGCCTCGTCCGCCGCCGCCGCCAAGCCCGCGGCGGAGCTCGAGCTCGGTCGCATGCGGATCGGCGAGGTTTTCGCCTTCTACACGGCGGATGGTGCGGCCGCCGACGACGGGACGGTCCTCCGCTTCGTGGAGCGCGCAGGCACGTTCGCCTCGAGCCCCGGCTTTGCGAACCCGGAGGGGGTGCTTCCCGGCCTCGCCGACGCGGCGCCGGTCTTCGACGGCACCTCGATCCCCGCCTACTCGGACCACTGGGCGAGTAGCGTGCTCGAGGCGGCGCTGTGAAGAGCGTCTCTTCACACGCGTGCGTGTGAGCAGGTGAGCAACGTGCTCGACCGTGAGGGCTTCCTGCGCACGCTCGAGGAGGCACTCGGCTTCACGCCGAAGGTCGACTTCAACGCGGGCGTCGTCGCGGCAGGCGAGGCGCGCATCGAGAGCACGGTGACGGGCAACACGTCGCGACGCCTCGCCGTCTCGGGCGCCGACGCGCTCGTCAACCAGAGCCAGGTGTACCTGCCGATCAACAACGCGCTCTCGCCGGTCGGCCACGTGCACGGCTTCCTGCAGGAGATCGGGCAGGGCATCCAGCACGTCGCCTCGCGCGTTGACGACCTCAAGGCGTTCATCGAGCGCGTCAACAACTACCGGCTCATCACCGGCCGAGGCTTCACCTTCCTGAACATCCCGCGCTCCTACTACGGCCGCCTCGACGCGCCGCTCCTCGCAAAGCACACGACGTGCTCCGCCGTGCTGCGCGAGGCTGTCTGCGCCGCGCTGGTCACGGCGGGGCTCCTCTCGACGACTGGAATCCTCGACCTCGAGGCGGCGACGGAGCGGCTCCGCGCGGCGCTCGCCGGCGCCGCCCTGCCCGTGGGCCTGGCCGAGGAGCGCGACGCGAAGCTGGAGGAGATCGTGGCGACGGTGCGGCTCTCGCGCTACTCCAACCTGCACTCGCTCCTTCGCGACCACCTGCAGGAGGAGGAGTACCTGCAGATCGTGCGAAACAAGATCCTCGTCGACATCCAGGGCAGCGACATCCTCTACCAAATCTTCACCGCGAACATCCTGCAGCGCCGGCCCGGCGACGAGGCGCCCTTCCTCGAGTTTATCCAGCGCGTCTGCGCAGACACGCGCTGCAAGGCACCGCACGAGGCGTGCAGCAAGCCGATCCGTCCCGGATGCGGCGGCTTCGGGATCCGGAACTTTTTGACCCTCTTCCTCTCGATCGAGGTGTGGCGGCGGCCGCCTCTCTCCCTCGCGAGGCTGGCTCCCGGCGCGCCGACGACCGCCCGCCCTCTGCGCTCCTTCGCCCGCAGGTGAGCAAGGCGATGCGCGAGCTCGCCGACGCCGAGGAGGCGGCCGACGCGGCGGGCTGCGAGCTCGCCCGCCGGAAGATCGAGCTGTTCACGGAGCAGCTGGACGCGAGCAACCCGATCCTCACCGACATCTCCGACGCGATGACCAGCGAGGGGGAGTGCCTCGACCAGCTTGCCATAAGCACAGGGTCTGCGTCAGACAAGGCGCTTCTGCGCGCCAGGGCCGACGAGATGCGCGCAAAGAAGGAGGCGGGCAACGCCAGGCTGCAAGAGGTGTCGACACAGTACGCCACGCTGATGAAGTCTCTTCGCGCGTGAAGGCCTCTCGTCTCGCCCTGCGCGTCTGCTCCGCCTCCCTCCCCGTCATCTGCCCTGCGTCGTCTGGCGACTGGTTCCATAGTCGGTTGAGGTCGCCGCCCTCCTCGTGCCTCTTGTCTTCCCAACGTTCCCTCAGCGGCCGATGCCGTCTGCTCCGACTCCCCCCCGTCCAGTATCCATGTTAAATAAATAAATAAAAACGGACACCTCTCTACTGTGAGGTGGGTAAAAAGGAACAGGTCCCCGCCCTTGCCCATGTTCAGAAAAACTCCGCACTAATTCGAACTTTCTCGTCTCTCGGCTCGTGCGTCGTGCACGCGCGTGGGGGGCTCTCGGGGGAGTAGTCAAGCAGGTGTGGGGGGTGGGCGGGAGGGGGCCGGGGAGCATTTTTTCGCATTTCCGAGGCAAGCGTGGGCCGTGATGGGCCCCTCCGGGCCTCTCTCTCACGCAGGTTATATACCTGGGCCAAGGAGACCGCTCACTCCGGTCCGCACGCGGTTTTACCCAGTACGTGGCTGGGTTCACAGCGATTGTAGGAAAACGAAGGGAACACTTGACGGTCGCGCCTTCCGACTCGCGCCTCCGCCTCACTGGCACTATTGTAGCCCTGGCCGGTGCCTGTCGACAGCGTGCCGACAGCGACACAGACCATGTGGGACGCGTCGAGTATCGACCTCTACTGCTTACCCAGCCTTCGAGTGTATCCTGGCTGTGGTCCCACACCCACTGGTGTCCATCTCAGAGACCGCAGGAGGTCATGAGGGTCGATGGGAGTGCCAACCCCACAATGCCTAAAAACCCAGCCCAGTAGCACTGTATACATACGCTGTGCGTACACCGGGGTGGGGGGATGATCATGAATCGTGAATGGCTAAAACTTCAAAAAGATTTCATTACGTTGCATGTGTGACAACAGCTAATCTGATTTCGAACTGCCGGCGATGGGCGGAACGGGGCGGCGCCTACTGTCCGGCGCCGCTCTCGACGGCTGGAACTGCTGGTATTGTTGGTCCTCGTCTTGCGCTCGCCTACAGCCGGAGTGGCGGAGGCGCCTCGTCATGGCAGGTGCTAGGCCGGTGTCGCGCACCGGCGCGCGCACGCACAGCCGGTCCCGCAGCTCGAAGACGAGCACGACGAGCCAGTACCTGCGACGAGGGGCGGCACCAGTGGCGTGCACGGCCTCCGGTGCGGCAGACGTATGGCGGCTAACGGGGCGACGGCTCGGCGTGCACATGAGCATCAGCAGCGTGACTCCGACCGCGGCGGTGGTAAAGAACCAAGTGTGCATGAGCGCCGCAACCACGCCAAAGGAGGTGCGGAGGTGGAGCGTCGCACTGTAGACCTGCGGGCGGCGGGCGGCGACCGTCATCCCCTCGCGGCCGACAACCCTCCGCAGCCACAGCCCTCGCGGCCACGGCCCTCGCAGCCAGCCCTCGCGGCCAGCCCTCGCCCAAGCCGTGCGCCCTCTCGCCGCCCTCGTCCCTGCCTGCCCGCCTCCCGACTCGCCGGGGGCTCGCCCTCCTGCAGCGAGCACGAGGAGAGCGCCACGCGCATCTCGAGCACCGGATGGTCCCGCCTGTAGGGACAGGCTCCGAGAAGGCTCCCCGATGGCTCCACGGAGCGCACAGCGCCGGCCGGTCGCGCCGGTTGTGCAGCTCGTCGGCGAGCGGCGCGCAGTGCGTCTGCTTCTCCTCGAGCAGGCCGAGCACAAGAGGCAGCATGAAGAACAGGTTGCCGAGCCACCGCACCTGCGGCGAGCGGTACCGGAGCACAAACGGGCGCGCCGACGCAAAGAGCATCGCCGGCGGCGCCGGCGGTGTCGCAGCTTGCACCGCATCGAGGGCAGTGACAGGCGGGCCGTCGGCGGCGGCTTCGCCGCTGTCGCCGCCGTACAGCGAGAGCTCCGCCAGGAATGTCCCGACCTCCACGTTTGGCGGCGACTCTGGCAGCTCGAGGCAGAGCCGCGCCATGTACTTGTAGCCGGGAGCGAGCGGTGGTGCCGCCGCGGCCACCCGCCCTCCCGCATCCGAGGGCGCGAGCCGCGCGGCTGCCACACGGCGCGTGACGTTTGGCGGATCGCAGAGGCCAAAGTGAAGTGGATAGTTGAGCTCCGCTTCCGGCACAGCGGCGGCGTAGATGGCCGAGTAGACGACGGTGGAGAGCACGAAAGAAGCGACAATGTGCGCCACGCCCCTCAGCGTGAGGCCCAGGCTGGTGGTAGCGGCGGCCCGCAGGCGAAGCATTGGTACACTGCGATGATCAAAAGAAACAATGGGTTCACATTCTTTTTTCATGCCTCGGGTTGCGCACTGTGCCTCTGTGTTCGTGCGTCGCCCATCTCTCCTGAAGATGCTAATATATTTATTTATTTATCCCTTGGCATCTCTGTTTTCTTTCTTTCTTTCTTTCCCTTTCTCCCTAAGCTAAAATTAAAATCCCTGTGTGGTGGCGGCGTGCCGTCCTCCCATCCCTCCCTTGGTTGTGTGTTTTCTTTCTTTCTTTAAGAGACTATGGAAAGTTCACGTCATGACGGTTAGCCGCTGTCACGACGGTTAGCCGCTGTCACGACAGCTGCCAGCTGTCATACAGCAAACGACAGCGACAGTGACACCTACCTGTCACCAGCTGTCACCAGCTGTCACCAGCTGTCACCAGCTGTCGTTGCTGCTGTCGTTGCTGCCGTCGTTGCTGCTGTCGTTGCTGTCGTAACCATCCCCGACTGGTCCAACTGTCACTGCTGCTGTAATTGCGCAGCTGTCATTCCTGCTGTCATTGCTGCTGTCATCGCTGTCGTTGCTGCTGCTGTGCTGTCATTGCTGCTGTCATTGCTGCTGTCATTGCTGCTGTCATGAGCACCCCCGCAGGACAGTGTGTGGTGCCACTAACGAGAGAGACAGGACACTCAAGATATAGATGCATGCGCGCGAGACCGCTCACTCGCACGCCCGACGCCACATGAGAAACCCTCTCAACAGCCACGCACGGTCAGCAGCAGCGGGCGTGAGTCGGAGAATCTGCAAAACCCTTGCCCTCCTTCCTCCAGCATGTGCCGTGATGGGCTCCAGCGCTGGTTCATCTGCCGCTCAAAAATCTCACGCGAGCGAACGGTGTCAATCCTCAGAGCCGCGAGGATTGTGCCCTTACGAACATACGTCATACCCAAAGGCAAAGCGCGAAGCCGAAAGGTGGACTGCTGTGTGTGTGTTGATTTTCAAGCGATTTTAGTCGATAAGATGGCTCTAGAAAAAGAAAACGAACACAGATGCGAAAAGAGAGAAATACGTGGGAGTCCTCCGATTTTCTCCTCACTCACCGGGGGGGGGGGGGGGCCCTTGATGAAGTGGGGTTGCTGGATGCCTCCGCGGCCTCGGATGTTGCTCGTTCTGTTAGTGGCGTCGGCGGCGGCACGGCCGCTGCCGGTCACTCTGCCAGACTTTGCCGAGTACTGCGTATCCTCGCGCTGGGGATTCTCCTGTTTCGCCGACGGCGCGGCCGCCGGCGGCCGCGCCGCCACTCGTCTCGTAGGGCCCGCCAAGCTGCTTGTGGTGGGGTCGGTGCTGGGCACCGTCGGCGCGGCGATAGTCGCGGACGTGTGCGACCTGCCGCGCGCCGTGCGACGAGGCGAGCTCGTTCAGGCGACCCTGCCAGGCGCCGTGCAGCCACCCCGTCAGAGAGGGGAGGCTGCGAGAGGGAAGGCGGGACGGGCGGCGGCGGCTAGGGGACGCGGTGCGCGTTCGGATGGCGATCCCGAGACAATATGGGTCGAGGCGATCGCCTCCAGGAGTGACTTTCTCTGACGCCGGGAGAGGGAGGCCAGGAGACTGGGGCAGCCGGGGCCTCGTGCGGGCAGGTTAGTGGCGGGGCGCAGAGACTGATGCACCAAATGCAGGCTGGGGGACCAGCTGGAGCATCCGAGTCTGCTGCCGCTCCCTCGAGGCCGCTCCATATCGGCAGAGTGTTGCCATCCGTACGCTACCTCTAGCTGGACAGCATGCTAGACAGGGCCGCCGATTTCACCTCTTCTCTGACTTCTGTTCCCGTGTAGTTCGGTCGTGGTATATCTGTATGACGTATGCGATCCGTATAGTTCTGGCTAAACGAGAACAACGCAGGGCCTCGTGAGAGCGACGACACAGAGGAACTTCCTGGTTGCACTGGTTCGGCACTGGGGCACAAGTCGAGAATCGTCTTTTGTCGCATTTCAAAACGCCATATTTCGCACTGACACGCGCGCGCCGCGCGACCCGCGTCGCTCCGCGAGGGCATGAGCCTTCCGCGATTCGAACCCGCAGCCAAAAGCTGCTCGCTCGAACCGCGGCCGACTCTGCCACCGCGGCCGCAGCTGCTGAGCACTCCAGAAAACTGGTGCCTCATATGCTCTGAGGTCACAGTATGGGTTAATATTTGTATAGTGGATTGGCCGTCTGCCTCGGCGCACGACCCGCGGGGCACGTGCGCGCCTCGAGAAGCTCCGCCGCCCCGCCCGGCGCTGCCCACCCGCCTTCGGTGGCACCCGCCGACAGCAGCCGCTCGCGCCGGGTGCGGCTGCTCGGCGACGTCGAGCGTGGTGCCCGACGGCTCAGGAGCCTTCTACCATCGACCACTACCACGGCTGCCACCGTCGGCGCCTTCGCTCGAGCTCTCCGAGGCCGCGTTCTGACCTCGTGCCGCGGCTGTCGTCGCTGCAGCAGCGACGAGGGCCGCGGCAAAGGCGCGGCCAGGCTACCGGACCGTTGCCCACGCCCACCGCGCCGGGCCCCTTCACCCGGAGGCGGCTTGCGGCAGTTACCCATGTCTCCGTGCGACCCGCTTGGGTAAAGCCGTGCTGGCCCCCACACACGCGTCGTTCTGTGAGATTCCCGACTTTTAGTGTGTACCGCGAGCAGACGCGCGGTGCGTGTACCAAAGTTAGTGGGCCATTTTGAATGGTTGAAATAGGCCTTCCTCCGGTGGGTCGCCCGGGCGCTGCGCGGCACGCCCGGCGGGGTCGTTGACGTGTGTGAAAAGTGTTACACCGATGTGTCCGATCGGCACCGTGACAGTGGGTGACACCGTCACCGCGACACTGCGACTTCGTCACTCTCGCGCGAGGGAGCGACGTCAGCGGACAGCGCGCTCCATAAGCAATTAAATCGGATTAATCGGTGGCCGTTGCCTCTATGTATCGTATCTTGAGGTATGTGCGCGCTCAATGATATCAGCGCCTTCGACCACCAACAGCCTGCCAACAGCGCGACCCTACGCGGAGCCGCGAGAGGCGCGAGCGGTGCGACATACTACACGTCATTAGCATACTATACGTCATTGGGTGAACAAAAGATAGGAAGAGTTAAATCAGATAAGAAAAAGCAGGGGAAAGTGGAAAGTGATTAATGAGCGAAGCGCAGCCAAAGTTGGAGGCCTGAGCGGGGTAGGGGCCCCGCCAGAGCCGGAAACTTTAGGCGGAGCGAGCGCCAAACGGCTATTGCTCTCCACTACTACCGCGAAATTGCCGGCCGGCGCTTCGCGCCGGCCAGCCTCGCGGCGCTGCGCGCCGCCTGTAGAGTGCGTGGGGGGCTAGAGCGCCAAACGGCTATTGCTCTCCACTACTACCGCGAAATTGCCGGCCGGCGCTTCGCGCCGGCCAGCCTCGCGGCGCTGCGCGCCGCCTGTAGAGTGCGTGGGGGGCTAGAGCGCCAAACGGCTATTGCTCTCCACTAGGTCGCGTGTGCGCGTGACCGTGGCATACCGTATTTACTAAGTAAATAGGGGGGGGGGGGTAAATGTAGCGGGGGGCCCCGCCGGAGGCAGGTTACTGATACCAATATAGTGTATTTAATATAGCGTGAAAGCGTGATATAGTCCTCGGCGCTCGGGGTCGGGTCTCGTCTCTCCTCCACTCTCGAGAACTAGAGTACGGATAGACGAGTAAGAGGTACCGTCTCGACGAGACATATTACAATGTCACGAATCGCGCGCGGGCGGCGGGCGCAGGCCCAGCTACCGCCTCTCTGCGGAGTCTCCGCGGGTCCGCGCTCACCTGCCCACGAGCCTCGCCAGCACGGGCTGGTGGTCCGAGGCGCCTTCCTCGAATCCGGAGAGGACGCCGCAGCCCACGCACGCTAGCCGTGCGGTCCGGTAGGCGACGTGGTCGAGCCGCTTGCGCAGAGTGAGGCCTCTTGCGAGAGGCCAGAGGTGCGTCTCCTTTCGCCGCGGCACCCACTCCGCCAGCGCGTCGCCAAACCCTGCCGCCGCAAGGGTGGCGAGGGCGGCCGACCCGTCCGCCTCGTTGAAATCGCCGGCGACGAGGTCGGCGTCGGGGCAAGCTCGCATCAGGGAGCGCGCCTCCCCGAGGCGGACAGAGGCGGTCGTTCTCGCGCTGCTGAGGAGGGCGCCTCCGCTTAGCTCGAGCGGCGGGCGGAGGTGCACGTTGACCACGCGGAGCACCCCCGCGGGCGTGTCGACGGCGCAGGCGAGTGCGGGGAAGACGGAACCGGCGACGTCTCCAAAGGATATCGCGCGGCACTCAGCGAGCGGGAAGCGGCTCAGGACGGCACACCCGCCGGCGAGCTGCCTGGTCGGGTGGTGGTAATGCACGTGCCGGTACTCGAGCGACGCGAGCCGCCGCTCCCACGCCGGGTTGGTCTCCTGCAGCAGCACTATGTCGGCCGAGGCCTGCGTTATGGCGTCGATGACACGGTCCGCGGCCGCGCCAGCCGCGCCAGAGAACTCAACATTGTAGGTGAGCACGTCGATGCTCGGCTCACCGCGGCTGCCGGTCGCCGGTGGGAGGAGGCTCCTATCGAACCTGTATGGCAGGAGTGGCGGCCAAAGCTGATAGGCAAGGCTGCTGAGGTCGCTGACGGCGTCGCTAACGCGCATAAGGATTCCTACCTAGCTAGGTACAGTGTGGGTTGCGGCTCGAGGCTCTCGAGGTTGGCCGCGTTGGGTAGCGAGGATTGGTGTGACGCGATCCACGCAGGCGTGGTTTCGACGGCCGACCGTCAGTGCACGGGTATCGGAGTTATGGTCCTGATACTCGCTTAGTTGTGGGTAAACGAAAAAAGTAGCGGAAAATCGTCTACGTACGGCTTAGTGAGTGGTTGGGGTGGCCTCAGGCATCCCCAAGGGAGCCTCTGCGGTGCCACATAAGCAGCTTAGTGATTGTCGAGACTTAAAGTGTTTCGTTTGAAGATATGCAAACAGGCCAGACACTACTATGGAGTATGGTCACCAGTAAACGAAAATTCGACTTTGAGGGATCATATCTCAAAAGGCTGGGTGAGAGCATAGCATTATTGTTGCATATTAGGCCACATAAGGTCAAACTTGACCCCAGAAGCATCAAGAACCCGATGCTCCGGCTCGACTGTGCCGGCACACTGCCTCCTCGCGCACGCTGCTAGCAGGCCGTTGCGGCCCGTGGTGCACCAGAGAGAGAGGTCGACGCGTTGCCCCCGCCGGCGACCCCGCGCGGCTCAGGCCAGCCAGAAGGTGTGTGGTGACGGCACCGTGGCAGGAGTGCGGAGAAGAGCTCGCCGAACGCGAGCAGCAGATGGCCAAAGTGTGCCAGCGCGAGAGCCTCGCGAGCGGGCGCAGAAGGAGCTCGCCGTGACACGATGCCGGGCGGTGGTGGTGCTCTGGCGACTGTGCACAGTGGGCAAAGTCAGGCTGCAACCGGGCAGCACGTTGGTAGTGCCCTGCTGCAGCCTGGCCTGACATGCCTGACATGCACAGGGCGAACAGAGGCGGTACTATCGTCCGGCGCTCGTCACCGAATCTGGGCGAACTTCGACCGCCGCCACAGCTCACCACGAGCACGCAGCGACAAAATGTTGACTGTATGGAAGTCGAGGCTGGTCCATAGGAAGAGGCTGCCGTGCGAGCCGGCAGCTGGCTGGCTCGTCGTGGACTGCGCGGCGACTTTTTCGGTGTCTTTCTTGATAGTACCGAATACGGTACTTTCGTCTACCCACACTAAGCGAGTACGACCTGTGAACGTGAACAGAGTGGTACCAGCACTGTGGGTCGTTGCGGCACGCAAGGGGGGCCTCCCGGACGCATGATCCTAGCCCAATACGTCCAAGGGAACTCCTTTCGATTTTTGACAGAATTAATGCACTGCCCCCGCACGGTACTAATGGTCGTAGTTTTGGTCCCGGTGCCCTTCACGGCACCACACCGCCGCTTGAAGGCCCGAGATTAGGAGCAGGCGCACATCGCTTCCAGGGAGGGGGGCGTGCTTCTGCTCACACCACATGCTAGGGGGGGGGTCCGACCCCCCCCAGAGGCTTCACCACATGCTAGGGGGGGGGTCCCGCCCCCCCCAGCACCTTCACCACATGCTAGGGGGGGGGTCGTGGCCGAGGACCCCCCCAGAGACTCGTGGTCAGACCCTCCGGGCCCTTGATTTTACGCCTCATTTCGCAGCATTTTCGAGGGTAAAATCATCCTTTGGAGCTACATGAGCCTTGAGACTGGTCAGATTCTCCAAGATATTGGACTTTCAGCCACGATTTCACAACTTTGGGGGCAAAATCGGCTCTCTGGCGGCTATTCCTAGCCCACGAACTGCTGGGGGGTGCCCACCACATGCTAGGGGGGGGTCCGACCCCCCCCCAGAGGCTTCACCACATGCTAGGGGGGGGGTCCCGACCCCCCCAGCGCCTTCACCACATGCTAGGGGGGGGGTGGAGCGTGAGCAGAAGCACGCCCCCCTCCCTGGAAGCGATGTGCGCCTGCTCTAAGCCTAGCAGTGAGTGGGCATCGCCTGCCGGTCGGCTTGGCACGACGCGAGGCGACCTCCTGAGGCTACCTGAGCTGGCAATGGATGCCACCAGGACGCACGGCTAGCAGGAGCCAGTCAGGCATGCCCTGCTGTGGAGCAGAGCCAGCTGGCGCACCGGCGATACTAACTCAGCGCGCCGCGAGAGGCGAATCTGGGCGACTTTGGAGGCGCAGTTCTCGAGGTTGCCGTCGACGATTGATGTCGGGTAAATTGTCACTGCCGTCCGGGAAGGTCTTCTCTCAACAGGCCGAGCGCCGTGGCCTGGCTCGGCTCGCCGCGGGCGCCACGAATTTACGGGACCGAAACTCACGACACCTCGATAGCATGTGCTCGCGCAGCTCCGACTTGGAGGGCATCTCGCCGCGATTCACAGCCTTGTTATTGACAAGAAAAATACCTCCTATGGCGCTATGCGCTGGTCTGTGAGAGGTTGAGGTGCGAGCCCTGGAGGCCCTGGGGATGGGGTGAGACTACCCTTCACAGCCTTGTTATTGAGAAGAAAATACCTCCTATGGCGCTGTGCGCTGGCCTGTGATTCACAGCCGTGTTATTGAGAAGAAAATACCTCCTTGGCGCTGTGCGCTGGCCTGTGAGAGGTTGAGGTGCGAGCCCTGGAGGCCCTGGGGATGGGGGGGGACTACCCGCGGGCTTAGAAGGCCCGCGCGCAGGGGGGTGGGGCATTGAGACCGGTCATGAATGAGTTCACAGCCTTGTTATTGAGAAGAAAATACCTCCTATGGCGCTGTGCGCTGGCCTGTTCACACCGAGCAGCTCTGCTCGCCAAGGCTCGCCAAGGGTTGACTCGGCCAGACAAAAACCCAGACGGGAGTACCTCGCCAGCTTGGAGCCGGATCCTTTCGCGCTTGCTCGGACCGAGGTGGGGACGCTCTCGAACGCTCTGAAGCAAATCGCCACGCCCGCTGCCGGCATGGACGCCGCGGGTCGCGGCGGGCGGCACTCGGCGCACGACGTGGGCATGCTCGAGGCGGAGCAGCAGATGTGGGTCGCCAACCAGAAGCGCGACCTCCTTGAGCTGCGGCACCGGCAGATCCTTGCGCGCGTCGACTGGCTCAACCAGCTCAACACGCAGGCGATGCTGGTGGCCGGCTCGGCGGTCGCCTCGCTGGGCGGCGAATCGCTCGAGACCATTGACGACGAGCACGTCACCAAAACGCTCCTCGACACAATCTTTGTCGCGTCGACGGCCGCGACGCTCTGCTTTTCGCTGTGGGTCATCTTTATCTCTTCGAATCTGATCATGCTCTCGCAGATGACCGCGCTCACCGGCACCTCGGCTGGCGACGTCAAGACCGCCGACGAGATCCTCGAGCGGCGGATCAACGAGGTGCGGTCGTACTACCTGCTCTCGCTCGTCATGCTGCTCATCAGCGCGCTGTCAATGGTATGGATGAACTGCACGGGCTCGAACTCGACCATCGCCACCGTCATCTTCGTCACCGTCTCGCTCCACGCCGTGCACACCCTCCGCGACACCTCCGCCGAGTTCAAAGAGTCGACCACCTTTGAAGGCGACGACACCGTCCTGCAGTGCCTCAACTCCGCTGCGCGCCTCCTCCGCCCGCCCTGCTGCGCCAAGCTCGCCCCGCGCCGCTGGCGCCGCCTCGTCGACCGGGACGGCCGCTCCGCCCACTTCCAGCTCCCGGCCGACGCCGGGCGCGCCGCCGACGCCCAAAAGTCGCGCAGCCGCGGCTCAAACTCGTCGAGGGCGGCGCCCGAGGGGAGGTGGGCGGACGGGGAGGCGCGCGCGAGGGCCGCGGCGGCGCCAGCGCGGTACCAGGGCTGGGTCTTCAAGTCCAAGTCACACGACGGCCCTCTGCGTGCCAAGGAGCGCCCCGCCGCCACGGACACAGCACAGACGACTTTCTCTGCACAACATGCATGTCACGACGCGTCCACGACGCGAGCCCGCGAGATATGTCCCACCCCACGAGGTACGTCCACGCCGCGTCCCACACAGGAGCGCCTCAACGCCATGGACCACCTCCGCGCCGCCCTCGCCTCCGAGCCGAGCGGCCGCGACCTCCTCGCGGCGGCAGAGCAGCAGGGCGCCGGCGGCCCGCCCCGAAAGGCGCAGCCGTACCTCTCGCCGTCTGGCCCGCTGCGCGACCGGAGGTGGTTCGTGCTGCGGGACACGGCCCTCGCTTGGTACAACACCGACGACGACCACACGCTGCAAGCGCCGCCCAAGGTGCCGCCTCGCTCCCTCCGCCAGCCCCGACCGCCTCCCGACCGCCCCCCGCCTCCCGGCCGCCTCAGGTCATGCTGTCGATGTCGGGCTACACGGTGCGAGAGACGGTGGAGCCGGGGCCGGCGAGGCGCTCCGCGCTGATGCTGCTGCCGCGTGCCGTCCTCGCCCAGCCCACAGAGGCGCCAGAGCGGGCGGCGCTCGCGCCAAAGTCATGGTACATCCGCGCAGAGACGGACGACGAGACGCAGCGATGGCGCGCGGCCTCGCCCGCCCACGCGGCGCGGCCGCCCGCATCTGCGCTGCGCGTTCTCACCGACGCGGCCCTCGTGTGCGACGTAGGCTCGAACTGCTCACCGTCGCGATCCACCGGGCGGACCAGCAGCAGGCCGCCGGCATGGCGGGACCATCTAGAGGAAGGTGACTTTTTGCGCAGCGGCGCCCGCCCAGGGCGCCCGCCCCGGGTGGGTAAACGAGCGCGAGCGAAGTGAACCCGCCGGGGTCGGGGCGCC